CTTTGTGGGTAGAGTCTTATTTGCTGAGTTAATTAGACATACATCCAATCAAAATGCTTCTCCTGACAAAAAAGAAATTCTACAACAGACCAGGTAAATTAGTAATCAATAGAAACAGAATAACCCTGACCTATTTACCTTTAATTATGAACGTAAAGGTAAAATTTTTGTAGTAGAAACCCAAAAATATCCTATCAGCAAATGTAGCCCATCTCGAGAGACAAGGATCTCATCTGGTCTCCTGACAAGGATATGAGCAACACCTCAGTTTTATTACCATATGGTAGATAGAGTATGGCAGTAGTTATAAAATCAGAGAACCTGTCACATTAACTTTGAAATATTCTCCTTACTAAGGAGAAAGAGTAGAATTGCTTCCCTGGGCTTAAGCTCTTATACCTTTTGGTATGTATGTGTTTATATATGTATGTGTGTGTGTAGATGTATTATTTTGAATGTTTAGAGGCATTATCTGGGCACCCCAACTCGTGTGTGGGACACTAACACCAGGGCATTTTGGTTCCAAACAGGATAAAACTGTGCATTAAACTAGGGATCTTGTGGACCACAGGATCTTCACTGAAAGCTGGTTAAGGCTTACTTTACCAGTACTTATTAGCTTTCTTAGTAAAATTCACTTAAGAATTTGCTTTAGCAACTCATTAAGCCTTTAATGGATGCTAATTATACTCTTTATGCCTTTTGAATTAAGAGACAGGGAATAATTTTACACACATAAGCAAACCCTAAACTGATATTTGGTTCTCAGAAAGTTGATACCAGCATTACTTAGAGCAGCAGTAAGTTAGAAACCTAGGTGAGGCAGAAAGCAACAAACGTGGCTGCTCAACTACTCCTCGGGTAGAATGAGGCAAATCACATGCCTTTATAAAGTGAAATAGAAGTTTCTTTTTCCACACCAGTTGGTTAACTTTGACCAGAAATTTTATATTAAGGCATATTTAGACACACTGCAATGCTTGCATTAAAATATGCAGAGCTGAGAAATAGGAGTATGAGTAAAATAATCCCAAAGACTAAAACTTTGAAGGCAGGACATTATCTGAGCCAAAGTGGTAGAGCAGTGTTCCCTTCCCTCTTTTTTATTTATTTTTAAAGATTTTATTTATTTACTTATTTGACAGAGAGAGACACAGCGAGAGAGGGAACACAAACAGGGGGAGTGGGAGAGAGAGAAGCAGGCTTCCCGCCGAGCAGGGAGCCCAAAGCGGGGCTCCATCCCAGGACCTTGGGACCATGACCTGAGCCACCCAGGCGCCCCATCCCTTCCCTCCTTTTTTTTTTTTTAAAGATTTTATTTATTTATTTGACAGATTGATAGCGAGAGCAGGAACACAAGCAGGGGGAGTGGGAGAGGGAGAAGCGGGCTTCCTGCCGAGCAGGGAGCCCGATGTGGGACTCGATCCCAGGACCCTGGGGTCATGACCTGAGCCGAAGGCAGACGCTTAACGACTGAGCCACCCAGGCGCCCCATCCCTTCCCTCTTAAAGTCCTTTGTATGCCATGTTGTTTGGAATGATTGGGCTTGCTTTTCATGGCTGTGTGAAGCTCTTTTCTTTGGTGAGCTTGCTTGTGAACATAATGGAAATTCTCTCTAGTTCTTGCCTCTTAGAAGTAGATGTAAGCCTTCCCATATTGTGATCGAGATATTATATATTTTTGGATGGAGCTCTTAAGAGTGTATTATACTAAGTGAAATAAGTCAGGCAGAGAAAGACAAATACCATATGATCTCACTCAAAACAGATGATCATATGGAAAGGGAGAGAGGGAAACAAACCATAAGAGACTCTTAAAGATAGAAAACAAACTGAGGGGTGATGGGCGGAGGTTGGTTGGGGGTGGGCTAGATGGGTGGTAGATGTTAAAGAGGGCACTTATTGTTGTATGGATATGATGAATCACTGAATTCTACTCCAGAAACCAATATTGCACTGTATGTTAACTAAAATTAAAAAATATATATGAAGCTCCGCACCACTGCCTTCACTGTGTAAGGACATGTAAGAGCACGAAAGTAGAAATGGCATTAATGTCTATGAGTCACAAAATAGAATAATAAATTGTAAAATATATTCATTGATAAAGCACTCTCTCAATCTTAAATGCAATTAAATTCATCTGTATTCCTAGGGCATGAGCTCCAGATACCAGAAATAGTGAAGAACAAAAGCATTTTAAAAATAATGCATATTGTATAACATATCTATTTTAATTTCAAGAAAACACTAACAAAGACCAAAAAAGAAAAAGGAACCTTTGAGTCCCTTTTTTTTCTTTTTTCCAGAAATTGAGAGGATCTTTCATCTATAAAGAGGGTAAAAAAAAAACTTTAGTCATTCACAGGTGGGAGAAATGGAAGTTTAAAAATGAGATGGTCCCATTGTGTTAATAAAACAAGTCAGACAAATGTGATCACCTGGCTGGGTGATTCTTTTCCTACCTAAGATGACTCACTCAGTTAATTTAGTGTATAGCTATCAAATTTAAAATAAAAAAACATTTAAAGGAAAAGTGTATCTATAAAAACAGCCACCTGGAAAACTTACTTTAGGAGTTACACTGGAAAATTAGAATTCTCATACTGTTTTATGTAGTGATGTATTTCCAGTGTTGAGTTTCATTTTATTTTGGCCAAAACTAAAAATTGAATGGGATCGTACAATTTTACCACACCTCTACAGTACAAAAAGGAGAAATATGTAAAATATATTTGTGAATACAGCCTGTAGGATACAATAAGTGCTTTCTGACCACTCTGCTCTTTTTTTTTCTCCTCAATGTTGTGTATGTTTTTCCGAAAGCTTTTCTTTAAAATTTAAATATTTTTCATAGTTCTATTAAGTTTAACAAGCCACAAGGATTTACTGAGTCACTGGTTAATCTAGGGCCTTTATATCCCCTTAAATAAATCTTTTAGATTTGTAATTAGTTCAAAACAGTAAAACATTATTTCATAGAGTATGTTATATATACTATTTATAATCATCTGTTAGACATAATGAGATATTTATGAGTTCCCACTGAAATTATGGCATTATGTCGTATAAATGTCCCCCCCAAAAATATTTTTCTTTTCTCACCATTTTCTTTTCTCACCTTTCATAAATGAGAAAGAATTAACTAATAAACTCCTGGCATTAAGTGTTAGATTTTATTAGATGAGCTTGTGTGAAGACTTGACATTGCATGCAGCATAACTGATAAAAATGTTAGAAATTAGCTCAACTTCTATTTACTCAGGCCAAACTTTCCAACTGAAAGAAGTCTTTAAACATAATTAGCATCTAGTAGGACTCACATATTTCTTAAGGAGCAAATTCCAAACTGCACATTCAGTGAATGGGTCTTGAAGATTTGGGAGTGCCCCTGGCCTCTTCCAACAGGACATAGAGAAAGTGCTCAGTGAGTTTGCGCTGGGTGAATGAAACCCTTTTGAGCATCTCCAACATGTAGGGCAAACTATCGCATAGGAGTTCTGATCCTTTTTGTTTGTTTTGGGGAAACACAAATAAAGATAAACTTATATTTAGCCATACTAATACGTTATTATTCAAGCTTAACAATTATGATATGAGCTTCTTTGCCTAGGAAGAAGAGTCATAAAATACAAACTACATAAATTTAGCTGGGGTGCATATACAAATATTAAAGTTGAATAAATGAAGACATTATCAAAAGCATATGGACTTACTCTGTAGTACCTAGAGAAGCTAGAGCTGACATGTAGCTCCTCCCTGGTAATCTAACAGGCCAGATGACCTGCATTTGATTTTATTTGATAGAACATATTAAGTCCTTTACCACTTTTTATTGTCTTTTAGGGAATGTTTTGTTATAAAAATCTCAGTTTCAACCCAGGCTTTTCTGTTCTAACATAGACAGTAAACAAATTTGTTTATTCATATATGAGCATTTATCTTTTTCTGGATGTATAGTCTTGTATTCCTAACCAGACCAACAGAGAATTTTTCTTCCGGGCTCTTCAAAATTTACTTCGTTGTGTCAGTGATTACAGTGGGATTTTATCTCTCGGTTTTCAACTTGTTTTCAAATTACTTCGCTCTAAACAATTTAGGTAGTTTCATATGTCTTTTCAGAACATTGTTAAGTGCTTAATAAATTATTCCTTTACTTGCTGTCCCCTTTTGCATGAAAATATTACGGAAATCCAGTAAATGGCGCTTGAGGCTATGAGCTGAGGGAAGAGGAGATGTCTTAAAAAAAAGCTCTTTCCCTGAACATGAATCCCACAATTAGAACTATTTCTCCTTAGTCTGCTGAGGAAGTAGAAAGAAAAGAATGAACAGCAAAATAAAGATGAGACAAAGAGGTGATGCTTGCGCCTGTAGACGCCACATAACAAGATGGGCCTCCTTGGAAAGTTGGCTTGGCTTGGGAAACACTTTGGTTTTTTGTTTTATTTTGTTTTAAAAATTTATTTATTTGTTAGAGAGAGAGTGCCCATGAGAGCGATGGGAAGGGGCAGAGGGAGAGACAGAATTCTCAAGCAGACTCCCTGCTAAGCGCAGAGCCCAACACAGGGCTCAATTCCAGGACGCTGAGATAATGACCTGAGCTGAAACCAAGAGACGCTTAACTGACTGAGCCACCCAGGTGCCCCGACTATATTTTTTATCGTGGAAAAAAATCTATCTCTTGTGCTAAGTAAGATTGTAGAACATCGTCATTGCCAGTAGCCTCAAAACTAAAGACTGTTTAAGACAAAGTTAACCATGGCTTTATGGTTAGAAAGCCTCTGGAAGAAAGAGCCCTACTCTTCACATCTCTTTGACAAGAGCCAATTATTTCCTGTATAAATCTTGCTATTTAGGTAGTATTTGTTTTAATTGACATTGTCATGGCTTATCATGCTTTTGTGTGTTTAAACAGTTTATCTCCAAACTTTGAAGTAGCTTTATTTAAGAAAAAATTCTTAGAATGGGATAGACGATGATAGTTACATTTTGGTGTTGCAGATCCTGTGAAGCCACCTGGCAGCTCCATACAAGCGCCGGTTGATTTACCTTTAGCTGTAAATACAGCACCACCATCCACCCAGGTGGATTCATCCTCCGCTGTTGCACCTCCTCCATATCAGCTAATTAACCTACCACCACACCTAGAAACCCTTGGCATCCAGGAGGATCCTCAAGACTACCTCTTGCTAATCAACTGTCAAAGCAAGAAGCCTGAACCCACCAGGTAAACCACAAATTTGTGTGGGGTGTGTGTGTGTGTGTGTGTGTGTGTGTACATTTAGAAATCTTACCTTTAAACTTTTTCAATTCTGATTCGAAGGCTTAAAAGAAACCCAACTATATAGATTTATATTTTAGGCTTATTATATTTCAGGGTATATTCCTCTAACATTTCTGATATTCAGGAAATTTATGGGAGAAACATGTTCTCTACTATCTAGGCAAAGAACACTTGTACCTACAAGGCTCTTTTGGAAATCTGTCTCCTGTTTCATAGTCTTTGTTACAGACTCACAGTATTACTTGCTTAACAGATTTCACTGATTTATAAATGGTGATCTTGCTCCATTTCTTATGTGATTGTAAACCAGCCAAGGGTCATCTTTTGTTTCTGAAGAAGGAGAGGAATACCTACTACTAGAAGATTTTGAAAGCAAAACGATTCCATTGCAGTGAGTGTGTTGTGGTTGCTTTGGATCTGTGTGAGAAATTAATTATTCAGGTAAAATCCCAATATAGCAAATATTATGGGATATACAAATTGGGTTTTAGTGAAATTTGATGAAATCAAATATATTGCTAAAAACTAAAACTTTCCAATCGTCGTACCTAGCAGTGAAGCAGAGCTTACTCTGACTTTATACATTTTTAAGTAGAAAGAAGCATGTGGATTTCAGTGCTTGCCCAAAGGTATCATAAAGCCTTTCCCAAATGCTTGGTTTCCCCACCATCTCCATTCCTGCTCCTTCTTTCCTTCTGAGTTATATGATATTTTAATTTGATCATTCTTGTCAATTTGCTGTTGAGTATTTGGAAGGCCTGAGGTAACAGTGAGAATTGCAGCCAGAAAATAAAGATCGGGGAGCCCGTTTCTACCATTAACAGCAGTGTGGCAACTAGTGATGTTGGGGATATTTACATCTTGATTTGCAATATATAAAAGTGGGAATGAATTGCATAGTAGATATGAAAGATATTTTTTAAACAGAATGATTGGATATTAAGCATTATTTTATTTTATAACAAAAAAGTTGTTGTTTTCATGGAGAAAGTGACTGTTACCGGGCTAAGATCATACAGAGTGCTTGTTCAATTTTTATACAGAATTTGTCAAGAACCACAGTTTAGTTGCTGTGAATTATTCCCTGAGGTATTGGAATACAAACATTCCAAAGTTGGGTTTCCGCATATTTGTTGTAATGGGATTTTACCTGTAAGAGCAAAAAAAGAAATCTTTTTATAAATCAACACTAGTTAATATCAAATTCTAACTTGATTTTGCTTGTTTGCTGTGAGTATTTAAAATTACACATTCGCAACTTTGTTACCTGTGCTACTAACTAAGATTTTATTTTATGGAGGTTCAGAATTATTTTTCAATATCAACTTTTTTAAAGCCAGCAGCTAAGTGGCAGTTTTCAGTGCATTTTCTTTTTATATGGTATCTTTCATTGATCTCATTGGTATTACAGCTTTCCTGTTGTAGTAGAAATTATGCTCAGAGTCCTTGCTCAGACATATTTTGTATCTATATTTTGCAGAAGTGACAGTTAATTGACAAATATTTATGAAGTACCCACTGTGTGCCCACTCTTCTGCTAGGTGCTGTGAAGGTACAGACTAATTACATAAGATACAGCCGCCTCAGATACAGTCCCTTCAGAGTTTATAAGTGAAGCTTTTGAAGAAGTCAGAACATGCAAAAACGTTAAGTGTTTTTAGATGAAGTCAGGAGAATTGCCTTGCAAACTCTTATTCATCCTGCAGGACTCAGCTCAGGCATGTATTCGTCTAGAAAACATTCTCCCAAACTCCCAGGCTGGACTAAATGCCTGTCTGGGTTTTCTTAGCATCCTGGTTGGGCCTCCTAATCTGTGTTTTATCACAGAATTGGAAATAGCTTGATATTTTAATTTATTCTTCACTAAACTATAAGCCAGTCAAGGGCAGGGAACTTATTACTCATTGTACTTCTAGCTTTTCTTAACTCACTTTTTTTAACTCAGTGAAGTGCAAATTTTAGAATATGTGTAGGTGCATTAGAAATTCTTAGAAGGGACAGTGCAAGTATTTTTAAGATGGAGGGTGAAATGCTTCAAAGGAGGAGTAGGATTTGAACTACACTGGTTGGTGAGAGAAAAGGACCCTGTCCTTTGCAATCTGCATAAAAATTTTTTAAAGGAAAGGCAAGGTAAGAGTGAGGGGTGGGAGGAAGCTAATGAGGAGGAGAGCTTGCCCGTAGTAGAGGTTCCACTGGGGGAGAGTAGGACATAAGATAGGGCATGCCAGATGGAGCCAGCGATGGTAGCCTCAGTACCAAGTGGAGTTGTCTGTGGGCTTTTTGTAGTTCCCACAGCCTGTTGGGACCCTTAAAAGGATTTTCTCCAAGTAGATGAGGGATATGAAAACCATGTTCTGAAAATACTGACCTTACAGCAGTATAGCAGTATGGTCCCTTGGGTTCACTGGAAAAAGGAGAGACTGGAGGAAAGAAGTCCGCTAGGACTTCTTAGGAGGGTTTAGTAGTGTGAATCATAGCAGAGACCCAGATCTGAACATGAGGTGGTGACAGTGGGAATAGAGAAGGGGAATAGTCACTTGGTTAGAAGAAGAACTTGGTGCCTCGGTGGTGGAGATCAAAGAGAATGAATCAAAGCTGATAGCGTTTTGAGCCTCGAGATTCTGGATGAAGACATTTCTTTTAATGGCAAGTCAGAAAGGACAATCAGAAGTAAGTTGAGTTTGGTTTGGTACACACAAGCAAGGTAACACCAGGATAACCAAGTAGGAATATATTTGAATGGTTTGAAAATACGGGACTTAGAGTTGGATTGAGAAGATCAGAGTTGTTAACATTCAGTGGAAGGTGAAGTTATAAGAAAGGAGGATTTTTAAATGGTGTGTGTGGTAAAGCATTAGAAGACTGACTTCTGTTGGCTGTTCCAAGGTAGAGACGCAGGAAGAAGGAACCAGTCAGTGAAAGAAGGGAATAATCAGTGAGGGAGAAGGGAAATGAGGATGTTGCAGTATGAGCTCTGTGATACCAGAGGTGGAGAGTTTGAATGAATAAATGGGATACATAGTGCCAGGCATTATTAAGAAATCAGGGAAGATCAGACCTTAAAAAGACTATCAAAAGTTATTTTTCTGAAGATTAAGTTCAAGTTCCTACAGGACTTTGGGCAACACTCGCAGTAGTTATCTTGTTAACCATTAAGGAAGTGCATGCAGGGTGCTAGTATTGTTAGCTTCATTTTGGCTTCTACTACCCAAATTTTGTGTTACCGCAAAAGGCAGAAACTAGAAATGTACCCAAAACATTAAATATACTCTAATGAGAGTTCTCAAGGTTAATTAATTTTTGGAATTGGCCAACTCTGTGGGTTGTCTTTTGATCATCTTTACAGTATTGGCTAAGTGTTTGTTAAAGAAAATTAGTAGAAAGAAAGATACACAAAACCTTTCAAGTTGCCACCTCCTTGTAGGTCACATTGAATTTATGCAATACCAGGTAATCATTAGACTGTTAGTCTTACAGAACAACAGTTGCCAGAGGTAGGCTAAGTAAAGAGCAGTGGACCAAGTTGATAAGTGTTGGCACGAGGTTTCTGCATGCTCTTCAGAGGAAATGCTTTTCCTTGTGTCTATGCCTTAATCATTTACCTTTCTCAGAATTTTGTATCTTTCTAATTCCAGTGCCTCAGGGATCATGGTTTTATGTGTGGATTTAATAGGTGGAGTTGGGGGTGTGGGCCGATACAGGACAGGCATTAGGGAGAACGCTTTTGGTGGTTTTGTGGTGGTGGCTTTGTTGTCTGGTGTATAATCATAAAGACTAAGAAACATTCATGCTTTAAATCTTGTGGATCGCACAAAAAATCAAATGAAAAAAAGCCATGTATTTTGATTGCTAAGCTATAAATATATTTATTAAAATGTAGTCTTATGTCTTCACCATGTTTTATTTTCTGTCATTAACAATTTTTATTTAGAACACACGCTGATTCTGCAAAATCCACCTCTTCTGAAACAGACTGCAATGATAACGTCCCTTCTCATAAAAATCCTGCTTCCTCCCAGAACAAACACGGAGTGAATGGCTTTTTTCAGCAGCAAATGATGTATGACTCTCCACCGTCTCGTGCTGCATCTGGTTCTGTAGACTCCAGCCTTTATAACCTGCCCAGGAGTTACTCTCACGATGTTTTACCAAAGGTGTCTCCATCGAGTACTGAGGCAGATGGAGATCTCTATGTTTTTAATACCCCATCTGGGACATCAAGTGTAGAGACTCAAATGAGGCATGTATCTCTTAGTTATGACATTCCTCCAACACCTGGTAATACTTATCAGATTCCACGAACATTTCCAGAAGGAACTTTGGGACAGACGTCAAAGCTAGACACTATTCCAGATATTCCTCCACCTCGGCCACCGAAACCACATCCAGCTCATGACCGATCTCCTGTGGAAACGTGCAGTGTCACACGCACGGCCTCAGATACTGACAGTAGTTACTGTGTCCCTACAGCAGGGATGCCACCATCACGTAGTAATACCATTTCCACTGTGGATTTGAACAAATTGCGAAAAGGTCAGCTCTAACTGGCTTCTACTGTGTTAGAGGTTAATGATAGAAAATATGTTCATCTGAATATTTGTTCTTTGCAGCATCGTGTGGTGTTAAATGATAGTCCTTTTTTCCTTCAGCTCTGCAGTTACCCACTCATGTAGCGAAGCTATCAGGGTCTCAGTAGACCGTTGGAAGGGTGTTTGTGCATGCGGCGTGTACCTGAGTGCATGTTCTGCTGGCAGGGAGAGAGACTTGGAGTTTTGCACCCCTGGAGAAGTATGGCCTTAGTAATACGTTCCTGCCTCAGGAAGTGTGCACCCCTCTTTCCTGCTTTCCATGTATCCTGGGTGGGTGGACTCTCTACTGGGGCAGAGGAGCAGGAAATGGACCAGCCACAAAGCCTCTCCGAGTCATCCCTTTCCTGTATTTGTGTGCCGTTATGGCTGCTTCTGTGTCCCATCTGCTGGGCTCCGTTTCCTTCCTTCCTCGATAAGCAGTTTATACGTTGTGTCTAACTAGTAAACTCTGTTCCAGTCGTGCCATTCCACTTTTGTTTGGTTTTATTTATCTCTAAAGCTCGGAGTCTTCTCTCCCCTTACCCTGACCGCTTCACTTAGTCCTACACCATGTCCCAGAGCCTACCAAAAGTTACAGACCTTGAGAGGAGAAAGATTCAGTCTGGGTTACACTCTGAGGTTCTTAAAGTCCTAGAAATAGAAGGCTGGAGTTTAAGATGTCCATACCCTAAAAACCGTGTGCTAACGTTTCTGTATGTTGTGGTAGAGTTACCCACCTGTCCTAAAGAAAATAAAGATTTAATGCATCACGAAGAGTAATAATAGGGAGACTTGACTTTAGCTATTCACTACCAATTTCTGATTCTCTTTATGAAGTGACTCTGTAATCTGATTAAAGGTTACTGAGATATAAGTTAGGACCAAGGTGGTACAGAAGCTGAGAAAAGAAAAGTATTTCTTTTCTCCATCTTTAAATAACCCATCTCATCCTGGGCTTAGACATTCATTCATTGTCGTGATCAAATGCTGGTACTGGTCAGCATATTAGTGAGTGTCTGCATTTTCTAGTGATTTAATGTGCCCATTCGGGATATTATTCTGTGAGCATCTTTTTAAAAAACCTGTGTATGTGCACGCATACCTGCACACAGGTGTGTAAAGAGAGAGAACAGACCATTCTGAGAACTGGCAAAGGTGGGAAGAAATGCTGATCGTTTGTTTTCTGTTTTAGATGCTAGTTCTCAAGACTGCTATGATATTCCACGAACATTTCCAAGTGACAGATCTAGTTCACTTGAAGGCTTCCATAACCACTTTGTAAGTATAATTGACCTTGGCGTCATCAAGTGTGTTTCACTCAGGATCTTCACACGCAGTGCCCTGAGACTAAATGAGATCACGAAATACAAGTCCCCTCAGCTCCGTATGAATAGGTGTGACTTACAGTTGTGTTTCCCTGTTTGCTAATAGTTTCTGTTTATTAAAAGAAATGTATGTGTGTTTTAGAAAATCAAAAATATATTGACAGTGGGAAGCGTATCAAGTGAAGAACTGGATGAAAATTACGTCCCAATGAATCCCAATTCTCCTCCACGACAACATTCCAGCAGTTTTACAGAACCAGTTCAGGAAGCAAATTATGTGCCAATGACTCCGGGAACATTTGATTTTTCTTCGTTTGGAATGCAAGTTCCTCCTCCTGCTCATATGGGCTTCCGGTCCAGCCCAAAGACCCCTCCCCGAAGGCCAGTTCCTGTTGCAGACTGTGAACCACCCCCCGTGGATAGGAACCTCAAGCCTGACAGAAAAGGTAAGGAGAGCATGGCATAGTGAAAGGGTTGGGGCAGGGGGGGTACCAGTTTAGATCTGCCAGCTTAGAGCTGCACTTAACTGTCATGAAATCCCAAATGCTATTGGGACTAGAAATTCTGAAGTATTTCATATTACCTTAGTTATCAACTTGTTTTAAGTGCGATACTGCTATTTGTAGATTAATAATTGTTATATGTTGATGCCCGGGTGAGGTTTCTGTCTCCTGTCTCTAGAGCAGAGGTTACAAACTAAAAATTACTCACAAGGTTTGGCAAGCAACAGGAGAAAATGAGAAACTGGAATGCACTTGCCCATTCTAAATGGAGTAACTAACTGCTCGTTGGCTATAATCCTTTGTTCACTTGTTTGAAAATAACGTGGGCCCATATGGGCAAATCATCTGATGTGTCAAGAGAAGCCAGAAATTTCATCTCTTACATGTATTATCTTTTGATTTTTGAATTTGATCAGCTAGTGTAATTTAAAAACAAAAACCAAAAAACGCCGCAGACAGACCACACCCTTCTACAGGCTAGCTGTGGTCTTTGGCTGCTGGTTTGTAACCTCTTCTCCAGAGTATATAATATAATATCAACTCAGACTAGAGGTTATTAGTGCATTTGACGTAATTCTTTAAGAACAGTGAGGCTGCTTGTACAGTCTTTCCAGTCTGTCCGTATAACAGCTTCTTTAAAAATGATTCTGCCTTTGCTGGGGTATAAATGCTTCCAGTCTGTTCTTTCATACTGGCCTTCATAAGTAACACCGAATTCTAGGGTAGCATGGTTTGATAAGAATTCAGTATAAAAGAAACTCCAAACTGGTAATACATACCCAGGTTTTTAAATTTGGGGTTTGAGTGGTTAAAATCCAGACATCTAGCTGTGTTACAGCATGCTGTTAGTGTGATTTAATCTTGACAACCAAATAAGTTAGTATATTGGCTGTGTGATGAGTTGGCACCATTTCTGGGGAATTCAGCACATTTGAAGTCTCCTGTGCTGTACACAGCTTTTTAAGGGCAGGTAATATCTGTGTAAATTTCTCATTAACCTGGGTTTTTAGATCATTACTATTTTTCCAGTTAAGTTAAGAACAACTGATTAAGTTCCAGTTGTGGGGAACAGAGTCTGAGACTCACTCAGAGTATCTGAAGAAAATGAGTTTTGTTTTGTTTTGCTTTTAAGTAAGTAAGTAAGGCCGGTCCTGTGCTGAAATGAGAAAAGTTACTGGGAACAGAAGCACTCTCAGGGGACCGTCACTTTGTCCTGCTGTCTGCATTTCTGTCCTGTGGGAAGTCTTTGTATCTGCTTTGTTCTGTCTCACATTCTTTCCTTCTTTTCTTGTTTTCCTGCCCTGGATCCTCTACGTGGTTTCTGCCTTCCAGGAGCTGTGGCCTACAACGCCCCTTTGTGGCCTCACTTCTGCCTCCTGGCTCCTTTTTACATGCGCGCAGCTTCTGCATCTGCTGCCTCCATCATTGTTCACTCACTGTAGAGTGCTCACAGAGAATTTGATTTCTCTTATTTGTCTTTTCACACCAGGCCATAGGATGGATTGTAGGCCAGCCCGTAGATTGGCTGCCACTGGTCAGCTGCCCACCTTTGGTCTGACAGCTGGAAGGATAGTCATGAGTAACACCCACGGCCACCCACACAGCCCCAGCAGCAGGGCTATAATCAGGGGTGGTTATCTTAGAAAGGGTGTGAGCATCACAGGCTTTTTATTTGACAACTTTTCCTTTTGCTTCTCTTTGTCCTCATTTGTCTTTAAATCTATTTAGGCATTATTAGTCATTTTCTTTGCATACAAAATGCAAAAGTATGTTTGAACATGCATAGATTTATAATTGAGTTCACAGGTTGCTGAAGGATTAAGGTCCAAGTGTCATGAACTCTTCGAAATACTGAAATACTCATTTTTAATGCTAAACTGGTTCTTATTACTTTGTGTGAGCAGCAAATCTCTACTTTTTTTTTTTTTTTTAAGATTTATTTATTTATTTTGGAGAGGGAACGAGCATGTGAGCACGAATAGGGGGAGGGGCAGAGGAAGAGAATCTTCAAGCAGATTCCCCCGCTGAGCGCAGAGCCCCATGCAGGGCTCGATCTCATGACCCGTTAGATCATGACGCTTAACCAGCTGAGCCACCCAGGTGCCCCATCAGATCTCTACTTTTTAACCCCAAATGTAAGTTTTTTATCTGGAAGTCCTACATAAACGTAGAGGTGGTATTGTTAGGGTAAGTGTACAAAGCACCTAGTCCTACCTACTATACTTCTCTGCCTGCCCCTTCCTTTCCTTAGGCTCTGCAGAACACAATTCGAAAATTCCCGGTATATTTCAGTTAGTGATTACACCTGGTAAGCATAATGAAGAATCAGAAAAGATCCCTATTTATATGTTAGAAAAGTTTTAAGATCATAATGATATGCTTTTAGTATTCTCTAGGTCTGACAGAGCTCATGTACCTCATATTATGATATATATTATCTTATGTATATATCATAATAATATGGCATGTGTACTATATATCATTTATATTACATATATGTATAATTATACCTCCCTACGTATATATAGTGAAAGTACTATATATTCTAGTATGGTAGCGGTTAGTTGCCCTAGTTCTCTAAACCAACCTAAAATGACTTTACAGTAGAACAGAACAAAGTAGGTTCTTGGTTACTTCTGGAGGTTGTGTTCAGGCTTTTAAAAAATTAAGTGAACCGTTGAGAGACAATCCTGAGCTATCCAGGTGGTTTATTTGGTATCTATGCTTAGGTACAAAATGAACTGAGAAAGCACCCAGAATAAAATACATTGTTTTTGGCAAAATCAAGGAGACTAGGTTTAGCAAAACAGGGGAGGTTACTAAAATCATAGTAATAAAAAAAAATGGTTTTGCTTTTCTTTTAGTACTGTTTTACTTTTTAAATAAATATGATACAAAAGAGAAAGCATGAGAGACTAACTTAGCAAACTTTATCAACTCACTTTAGGAAGTTATAACTATTCAAGAAAAACACATTGAAAACCCAAATTCAGACCTTGGAGCAGTTTATATTTAAAAACTTAAATTGTAGGGGCACCTGGGTGGCTCAGTCGGTTAAGTATCCGACTCTTGATTTTGGCTTGGGTCATGATCTCAGGACCATGGGATCGAGCCCCATGTCTGGTTCCACACTCAGCATGGAGTCTGCCTGGGATTCTCTCTCCCTCTCGCTCTGCCCCTCCACTACCACCAGCTCCGCCCTACATGCTCGCTCACTCTCTCTTGCTAAAATAAATAAATATATCTTTAAAATAAATAAAAATAAAAACTTAAACTGTAAAACAAATGTCTTATTTGGTCATGAAATTCTTCACATGCATAGCATCAGATGAGTCTGTTTTACTTTCAAATTTTGTGACATCAGATACATGACTCAATCTATTCCAGTATCTCTTATTAACTGTACCTCATAATTAGCAAACCTAATTCTATCAAATATGGCTTGATTAGTTTCAGGGCCCCATATAACTAGTTCAGTACCCAGTGCAACCGATTTCTGTGATTGTCCTCTTTGGAAGAGTCTACAATAAATGAGTGACATTCTCATCTTGTTTATACCCCCATTTATAGATGTCAGCTGCTGTAATTAGTAGTACAGATAAGTTTTTCGAATACTTCTGAGTAACTGAAGCTTCAGAAACGCATAGATGTTCTAAACACTTATGTTTAATGTATTTTCATGGACCCTTTTGCCCATCACCCAACTTATGGTAGCTATATTTTCACCCCTACTATTTCTGTCACGGTAGGATTTGTTACAAACCAAGTTTTGTGTATATTAATAGAGGAGAAAAGCATAATTTACATATATTGTACTAAATATAGGAAAGCAGAGGAGTCATTGTAAAAGCAGGAAAAATTATGTTTTGATTGTTTCAACTGAAAGTTACATTTTAATTGAAAAGCAAGTTCATAAAGTTTTGGAAACTTCTGTAAGCTGTCTATCGTGGCTTCTCTTAAAGTAAGCCATTACCTGAATCTACTGTATTTAACCACTGTGCTGATCTAGGCCCCCTACCCCCATCCAGTCTCCTAACATGATGTGGCAGCCATTTGAGCCTCAGACACTATCTTTATACTTTGTTTTGTTTGGCTTTGTCCAACCATGGCTTTCTGCAGTAGTTCTGACCATTAGTTATTGTATTGATTTTGAAAAAGCAGTGCAAGTTTACTTCTGGTATTTTTGTACATTAGTCAGATTAAAGTATCTTCAGGTATGCATCTTCACTTCAGTGTAGGGAGCATCCAAAGACCAGTCCGGATGAGCTTCCCTAGATGGGTCTTTTTGACACGGTTGACATATTTGCTCTAGACGTTTTTTCAAGAGATCGTCTGAAGTTTTTGAATGTGATTAAAAATTAACATGCTTTTTATTTCTATTTTTTTAAATTAACATGCTTTTTCTTTTATACTATAATAAATGTTTGGGAGATGAATGACACTAGGAAATATAACTAGATTTTAATAAACAAGTGTTAAGTTTGAATTAATTTTGGTTTGGTGTTACAGTTTAAAGGAAATGCAAATGGAGTACATTTTTAGGGTGCCTGGCTGGCTTAGTCGGAAGAGCACATGACTCTTGATCTCAAGCCCCATGTTGGGTGTGGAGATTACTTAAATAAATAAAAACTTAAAAAAAAAGAATGGAGTGCATTTTTATAGCATAGCCTTTACATGCAGATTGTTTCTCCTAAATAGTCTTTACCTTCCAATATATAAGTATCATTATTACATTCTTCTTCATACAGTCAAACCATTAAAACAAGTGTAAAAGTTACCTGGATTAGTTTTTGGAATTATCAGAGGATAATAATGTTGTGAATTATCTTTCTTCTTTCTTGCTTTTTGAGATATCTAATGGAATTAGTATAATCTATAAAACTGTGGAAGAGTAAATAATTTAGGCTGAGTTAAACCTGTAGTAAAACAGAAAATAAATTTTCCACTTTGTGTTGAATTTATGTAAGCAGTACCTATGAAAATAATACTTGGTAGTGTATGGACTTTGCAAAAAAGATTGCATCTGCTTGTTTGAAACATGACCTCATGTGACTGCTTTGACCATATTTGGGTTGATCAACTTCTTAAACAACATTCAGTTGCTCTTTTTTTCCTACTTAAAAGACCAACAAAAAATTATGATATTGATCAGATTAAACACTACCAGCTTTAAGAGAACAGCAGTTCATCAACATAGATTTAAATGCCTACCAATTATAGGATATAACCTTTGCTAGGCCTTGGGTCTGCAAACACAGGAAGAAAAGGTGGCTTCCCTGAAGAAGTTCACTGTCTAGTGGAGGATGTAGAAAAGTAAACACATTATCATAATTGGCGTGGAAGGGGCTGTGGTTGAGGTAAGCTTTTGGCACTGTTATCTAAGCTCCCCTGAGGAAAGTCTGAGAGGGTGAATGGCAATTAAATGATGGTAGAGGAGGGGGGATGGCAGAAGATCTTTTAGTCAGAATAAACAGTATACCCAGATCCTTTAAAAGAGGGCAGATGGGACTGGCTGGGTTGTGAGTGGGAGGGAGGGAATTAGATAGGGAAGGAGGAGGGGAGCAAAGTATGAATGGAGGAAGAAATGCCAAATGCCTTGCAGGTGCCTGATCCTGAGGGTGTTACAGTCCATGCTAATGAGTTTGGGCTTTATTCTGAGTACATCATTAAAGGGTTTTATGCAGACAAGTAACGTAATCAGATTGGCCCCTAGAAAGCTCATGCTAAAATTTAAGGATATGCTAGGAAAAAAGTGTGTATTCTCTAATGTAAAATGTTACAAAAGTCACATTTTTTCAGCATCTTCCTCAGAGAGTGCTTTGCTCGGTTTTCCAAATCCAGGGTTCTTAAAGCCTTGGTTTAGAAATGATCAAATGAGGAAAGGCATAACAGAGCCCCTTTCCTGGCTCTTATTTGGTCCCTCAACTTGGGAACTTACAGTGATTTTTAAAGTTTTGAAGACATCTGGAGTATAGGTGGAGGTTATTTAGCCATACAGTGTCAGCTCATCACTTTCAGAAAAACAAACCAGGTAAGTGAGGAACATATTAAAAACAGGAAGGTCTTAAGAAAAGACTTCAGACTTGCAGATTTTTTATTTTCTTAGGTAAATGAAAACAGACTGTTATACTGTCATTATAAATACAAATTAAAATTTATAAAATAAAGATTAGAGGGAAAGTAGAATTTAGAATGACTTCTTGTAAGAGATCTGCAATGGCAACTGGTAGTAGAGGAAACAAAGCAGGTCTCTGGTGACTCAAAGGACAAATTGCCTTTTGAACATGTAGTGGGAATGCCTGCAGAACAGTCATATGGGGTGGTTGTGTAAATGTGTAGGTTACGATCTCCAGAAAAAGATCTGAACCAGGGATGAAGATCTGTCAACTTGTACTCCAAATTACAGAGCAAGTCACATGATCCAGAGATTGACCCCCATAAGGGTTAAAGCACCGAAGGAATTTCGCCAGTAATCAGTGCACTCTAAATGAAATAATATTGTTTTCTTTGTTCAAAGGTAGTCTAGCTAAAGCCAAATTGTAATCTGCTGTGGATTTAAAAGTTGAGCCTCGAATGAGTTACTCTGTTTCCTCTCAGAATTTGAGATCCAGTGTATCTCCAGAGTTGGTTTATTTTTGCTTTTACTTTATTATCCTTATTTCTTACTCTTTATTTTCACCCTTTTCTTCAACAATCAGGAAAACATTCAAATATTTGCCAGTAGACAGTGGAGAAGAAGACAGGGCCAAGACAGGCATACTAATATCTTGGACCTTTTTTCACCTTTCTCTCATAAGTAGTACTGAGCCATCATTTGGGTATGACTTTCATTTCTGTCTGGAACATCAATGTCAAATTGAGTTTGGAGGGATATAAAGAGATAAAGCTAACAAAATGTCTAAGTGACTCACTACGATTCAGTGCCACACTTCCACATTGCGACTTTGGTCCCAGAATCAACCTTGAGCTTTGCATGGAGTGGAAAATACATATAAATTTTATAAAAACACTTTAAAAACCTCACCTGGTACAATATTTTTCTATTAGGAAAACCAAGGAGTGCCCTTGACAGTGCTTAACAGATGGAATTGGTTTGGAGAAGAGATGATCCGTTCACGGTCAGGTAGTAGAAGGATCACTGTGGGGAGCTGTCAGACATGGGAAGAATGGAACTAGATCACAGGCAGGTCGAGTTAGCAGTCACAGGACCTTGAGTATTTAACCATAAACACAGGTGAAAAGTTGAGAAATGTGGAGGGTGACCTCTGGGGGAGAAGCCCAGTGACAAATCAGGAGGAAGCCCAGAGCTAATGAAGCTAGTGGGTCTTTGAGAAAAGGAGGAGAAAAGCAATTATTAAACTTCACGTCACTCACAGATCAGCTACCTGTGGCATTCAAGTAGATAAAAGATCTCGAACTGAACTGACCAGTTCAAAACTGACCTCTAAACACTGGTTTCCTCGGATTTTCGATTGCCCAAAAGGAACGAGAGGTAAAACAGTGTGGACAGCACAGGAGCATACACCAGCAGGTGCGAGGCTAGGGGAAGCCTTCATTTGGCCTCTGTAATGTTGTTACCCAGGCAAGTCACGTAACCTCTTTCGTTCTTCGGGGTATCTCATCCATAAAATGAAGAAGCTGGATTTGATGTGTAAAAGCCTTTTAGCTGTAAAATAAATTTATTTTTCTGTGGTAACCCTTACCATCTGCCTCTTACTTTTTTTGAAGGGAAGTACATTGTTTTGGGAAGTTGATAAAAAGCTGCCCTCCTCTGTTGTTTTTAGGAAAGTGCCCTGCCAGTGTGGGCCCTGGATAGGTATTCAGCATTAGGGGTAGGATTACAGCCCCAAATCTTACCACTCACATTTTAAACTAGACCTGCCTCATTTCTGAATCAACTCAATGTATTAATTGCCTAACTTAGAAAATTGGTTCATTAGAGAATTCTCACGTTTTATAACCTGGAGATTTCCTATTTTAAGAAACTTTTAACCTTCGATAGGTAAGGTACTAGATATTGGCACTTAATCAGCAAATTCTTAATTTTGCCATCTAATAGATGTTCACTCACTTTTGTAAATGCCAAAAAAAGATGAAAATTTGGTTCCATTGAGAAAAGAGCAGCTTAAATTACTGATTTAAATGATACTGCTACTCTGGCCTCCAGGCTTCCTATGGGAAAAAGTGAGGCCACGGCTGAATGTTAACCCTGTACTTTTCATAGGGCCTTTCAGCAGCACTTGTATGTGGCAGAGAATAAACGAAAAGAAAATGAGGGCAACTGAATTTGTTTTCAAATACTTACATGGAAGCTAGACAACCAGCAGTTCCAGAATCAAGACCTCTAATCCTTGCAAAATGATGTCCCCGAGCAACTACCAGTATCCAGGGGAAACATCAGTGGTCTTGGTTTTGATCTTGGATTAGCAGACATTGTAGCATCAACCTGCTTCTCTAGAAGGGCTTTTGGACAGGAGGTCAAAGAGTAATCAGATTAAGGTTGTTTAAATACCTCCATTAAATTAAGAAAGTAATATTCTAGGGAAGAAGGCCTTGGTACTTTCTTATCAGACTTCAAAGAAAAGATGTACTTTGAGGTCTGACTAAGGTATTTTATAATTTTTTATTTGATCCAGTTTTCTAAGGCATGTTAGAAGAATAACTAACATGGCACATGTCTTTCCTCCCTTCCCCAAATAAAGATAACCACTAACCAGTCTGGTTATCCCACTAAAACCTTACCATCTTTTATAACACTTGGCTTGTCACACTGTTGCATGAAGCGTCTTCCTTTCCATTGTACTGAGCATGACTTATATGTAGCAAGATTGAAGTATTTTCCACAAACAAACTTTTGTTTATGCTTTGAGATGTAACATTTCTGCTCAGGGCTCTGTTGCTTTTTTACAGAATCCATTTTTCCAATTAAAAAATAACATATTAAGAGAGTCTTCTTTTTACCAATTAGGTCAAAGTCCTAAAATTTTAAGACCCAAACCCCATGGTTTAGAGCGAACTGATTCACAAACCATAGGTGACTTTGCTACAAGAAGAAAGGGTATGTACTTTAGCACCGCATGCTGGATGGGGCATTGGGAATTTATTTATTTTGTGACGGTTTTTTCTTAAAAAGTAAAAGAGAAGAGCCTTAAGTACTACTGATGTTGTAAATAAAGCTTCCTAGCACATTATTTCTGAAGTGAATGCTTCCCATAATGTGTGTCTTCCCATTGTGGCTTTCCATAGACCCAAGTCTACTTGTTATGCCATGAATAGCAGCATGATAAATTTGATAATACATGATATTTAGTCTTGTCCTTTTGCATTATTCTCTTAACCTTTTGGACACCCATACATTGTTTTCATTAAGCTTGTGAGCTACTTGTGAGTTCCAAATGCCTTCTTTATTTATATAGAATGTGGTATATATTCTGTTCTGAGACAAAATAAAGAATCACTTCCCATGGATTATTTTATGCCATTACTTAGAATTTGACAGCTTAAACTGCCATTAGCCTTTGGGTTTCAAAAAAGTGAAACATAAGAATTAAAGAAATATGTTCACTAAGCACAATATTCTGTGCTTGTCTATTTTAAGTGTATACGTGAGCAAGATTTAAACTCAGACTTAATCTAGTCTTCAGAAAATCACATTGAGTTTTTTGTTTTGAATAGACAAAAATACTTACAAGCCCCAGTGAATCTGCATAGTCCTTTAAAATGACCAGCTATTTTATTGTTTGATGGTAATTATAACATAGTTGATTAAAAGTATGAATTGAGTAAAAGTATGTCCATATATGGACAAAGACTAGAAGAAGGAAACCTAGAAAAATGAAATTTTTTTCTTTGGAGTGGCAGGATGAAACGTAACCAAAATATTTACCCAATATGTTTAAATAGTCTCCTAAAATATAATTAATATTAACATATAGTTTTATTTCTTTTGTTCATTTAATTTATTTCTGAAAAATGTTTCATTCTTGACCTTAAGGGCTGAGAGCTCTATGGTGTTTACTAGCGTGGTAATTCTCTGTTGTAATAATGAGGTACATAAGCAAAGACCACTTATAAATCAAGCCAATAAGAATATTAGTGTTTATTATTATTTAATTTGATAAAGGATATTGTTGGTTAAATAAGCTAAAAATTTGAGGTAATTTTTAATAATGGCCTTCTCTCAGAGCTGAGTTTGAGTCTTAAAATGTTATTATTGCTTTCTTTTATTTGTTTTCAGACTGGGCTTGAATTAGTTTAAAAGATTTGGTCAATTCTTTTTTCAGTTTTTGATTTTAGCAAAGTTTGGTGTTTAATGCTTTCTATACATCATATTATATATATATAGTTGTATAACTGATGCTTCAGTGTTGAAGAGTAGAAATGTTTTTACATAGAAATTAAAGCTCTATACTTGGGGATAAAATTATTTTTTAAAAAAGGAAATAAGGAAATAATGAAAGGTATACATTAAGTAACTAAAGGAATTGGGTCACATTACCCTTTCTTCTCGTTTAGTTTATTTTCATAAAATATTAAATTAAGAAGCAACGTGTTGTAATAGAGCTTTAGACTTTGAGTCAACAACCATGAAACATTATTGGATTTAGCTTTTGTCACTCATTATTTAGCTGTGTAACCTTGGGCAAATCACGTAACATCCATGAAGCTGGTTTCATGTGTGAAACCAGCTGGTCTTAGATGTACTCTGGCTGTAACGTATAAGTAGAGAGAGTGAGGATCTTGTTTTGTTTTCCAAATTTCTGTATACTGAAGCCTCTTTTTCTCTTTTTCATTTCAGCCAAGCCAGCACCTTTAGAAATAAAACCTTTGCCAGAATGGGAAGAGCTACAAGCCCCAGTTAGATCTCCCATCACTAGGAGTTTTGCTCGAGAGTAAGTCTTTGTTTAAAATATGTACCTTGATTGTTCACTGTAATGGAAAATACCTGGAACAGTGGTTCCCAAAGTATGGTCTGGGAAGCCCCTCCTTTTCGGGTTCTGTGAGGTCAAAACTATTTTCATTAAGATGCTAAGATGGCTTTTGCTTTTTCCACTCTCTTTCTCTCATGAGTATTTGCTGGACTTTTCCAGAGGCTACATAGTGTTTGATCATATCCCTGGGGCAGGTAATAAATAGAAAATATTTGTGTACTCTTGTGGTGTTTTTTGTTTGTTTGTTTTTATGTATAAGTCTATTTTTTTAATTCAATTAATTAACATAATGTATTATCAGTTTCAGAGGTAGAGGTCAGTGATTCATCAGTCTTATATAATAACCAGTGCTCATTACATCATGTGCCCTCCTTAATATCTACCACGCAGTTACCCCATTCCCCCACCCCCCTCCCCTCC